CCCGTTAGACCAGTAAATCTAGTCTTTTTTGTAAATTTGAGTTTTGTTCTACATTTTTCTCCCACTCTGTTGGTGACCCTCTTATTGTGATCCCTGTCAGAGCCGTCGGTGGTGGTAGCCAGGCACCATCTAGTTCTTTTGGACTCAGGCTGGTGGAGGCTGTGGTTCAGGTGGTCCATTAGTCCTTTGGATGGATATTTTCCTTGTGTCTTTGGTTTTCTTCATTCTCCTTTGCTCCGGATGGGATGAGACCAATACAGAGCAGGATTTATTATCATTGCTGAGGAAACCCTCAGTGAGGAATTTGGTGCTAGGTGGCCTTCCCTTGAGCCTGGGTGGCATGAGTAGTTTGCAATCGACTACTAACCTAGAGGTTGGCAGTTCAAACCTACCCAGTGGTGCCACAGGAAAAGGCCTGGCGAACTGCTTCTGTAAAGATTACAGTCAAGAAAACACATGGGTTGCCATAAGTTGAAGTGACTTTATGGCAACAGGTTTTTTTCTTTTTTTGGTTTGGCTTTCTGTAGATTCCTGCAGTCTAGCTTCTGCTGCTATTCATGGGCCCACCCTTCCCACCTCTTCCTTCTCCCAGGACTTGGCCAGGCCTTCTGCTATAATCCCTATCCCGGCTGTGGCCTGGAAAGGCCCTAAAACCTCCAAACCCCCAGTTCAGAGATGATTTTCCTTTCCTATTAGGGTCTGTGGCTACTATAACTTCCAGCCAAGTTCCCCTCAAAGTTAGGTGGTACTGGGGCTAGAGCATCAGAAGCTCCAGCCATGGTTTTGCCATGGCTGTGCTCTGTTAGAAGGCGCTGTTTCCCCATCTGTAAAAGGGAGATAGTAGTACTTACCTTGCTGGATGGGGGAGTGGAAAGAAAATATGGTACTCAGGAAGTACCAGGTACTATGCTGTCTTACCTACATTTCTTATTTAATCTTCAGAACAACCTGTGAAATATAAATATCCCTAATTTAAAGATGAGGGGACTGAGGCTGAGTGAGGTTAGGACTCTACCAAGGTAGTTTGGGAAATAACTGGCAACATCAGTACTTGAATTATACCTAGTGGAGCCCAGCACTTTAACCAACCTTGGCCAATATTGGTTGAATTTGATCAAAGGAAATAACTGATTCAAAAGTAGTGTTGGTGGCTCCTAGATTTCCGGTTTCCATAATGAGTAATTTTTTTAATAGAGAGTTGATATGGGCTTGACAAGCAAAGACATGGAAAAAATTATTCAGAGATTATCACAATTATTATTATTACTGTACTTAAATGAAGGTTTACAGAGCAAATTAGTTTCTCATTAAATAATACACATATTGTTTTGTGACACTGGTTGCCAACTCCATGACATGTCAACACTCTCCCCTTCTCTACCTTGGGTTCCCTGTTACCAGCTTTCCTGTCCTCTCCTGCCTTCTTGTCCTTTCCCCTGGGCTGGTGTGACCATTTGGTCTTGTTTTATTTAATGGGCCTGTCTAATCTTTGGCTGAAGGGTGAACCTCAGGAGTGACTTCATTACTGAGCTAAAAGTGTGTCTAGGGGCCATACTCTAGGGGTTTTTCCAGTCTCTGTCAGACTAGTAAGTCTGTTTTTTTTGTGAGTTAGAATTTTGTTCTACATTTTTCTCCAGCTCTGTTCGGGACCATCTATTGTGATCCCTGTCAGAACAGTTGGTGGTGGTAGCCGAGCACCATCTAGTTGTGCTGGACTCAGTCTGGAGGAGGCTGTAGAACTTGTGGTCCATTAGTCCTTTGGACTAATCTTTCCCTTGTGTGTTTGGTTTTCTTCATTCTCCCTTGCTCCAGACAGGGTGAGACCAGTGAAGTATATACAAGCTTTTAAGACCCCAGAC